CCTCCGTCGGCTCCACCGTGGGTCGACATTATGGCTGTGGCCTGGGTCCAGCTGGGCTCCTCCTGCTCCAAGCCCATCCTGTCTCCTCCCTGGCTCCTCCCTCCATCTCTTCCCTGGCCCCTCCTGGATATCCGGCCTCCTCCCAAGTTCCCACCCATCCCTCCCTCTGTTGTTGTTACAGTGTGAGGACGCACCTTCCGGGAGGGGGCGATATGTCAGAATTTTGTCCTGTCTTGCCCCCGTAGTCCTTCCTGTGTCTCCTTATTTGGTCATGTTCCTGTCCTCGTTTAGTTTGATTATGTTCCATTGTTGTCACCTGTGTTCCCCTGATTGCCCTGTGTTTATAAGTCCTAGTCTGTGCAGTTAGTGTTTGTCGGGTCTACCAGTGATGTACGTGTGTCTACCTCCTGATCCCTATGTTGGATTTACCCCCTGTGTTGGATTAATAAAGACTCTTTCTATTATCCACTGCTCCGTGTTCCTTCCGGCAGCGTAACGTTATGGGTAGTGTATCATGGTTTCCACAAACATTTATAATAAGAATAAATGTTTCTTGAGCATCAAATCAGTATATAAGAATGATTTCTGAAGGTTCATTGAAGACTCTGAAGACTGGCTTTGCCATCATATGAATAAATTTGTATTTTTGATCAAATGAATGTAGCTTTGAAATGCAGTCTGAGAATGTCTTGGTATTTGGTCTCTTTTTTTTTTTTTTTTCCTGACAACAGCCAACTGTAAGAGTGACAACAGACAACTGTATGAATTACACAGTCTTGTGTAAATTCAGATGATCATGTTCCAATTTCTTACTCAAAAGATTAAGATTTTTATTTATTTTTTCTCTAGTTTTCCCAGTACTAATAGTGTCCTCAAAGCACATTATCAATCTTAGTGATGTTCTCCGTTTCTGTGAGGTCCCATATGTATATTAAACCTATTGGAAAGTGCTGAGCTTAGTTTTAATGGTAATAACAGTGCTATCTGTGCTGTTACTGTAGGCACTATGTAAAGTTTGAGAACTAGTTAGAGGCAGAGACGGGCAGTTTGCTGAGTTTGCCAATGATAGCGGTATAGGGGCAACATTTGTAATTTTGTAATTTAAGGAAAGAACATACTTGTCTTCGAGGGATGTACATAGACTTACTGATACAAAGCAACAGAGCACAATCTGTTCAAATGAAGTGTGATTTTAAAAATAAACTTTGAACCTTCTCTAATCATAAAGTCACATTTCATTGATTCACTGTTAAAAACAACAACAACAATAATAATATTTGCTGAGTTTGCCAATGATAGCGGTATAGGGGCAACATTTGTAATTTTGTAATTCAAGGAAAGAACATACTTGTCTTCGAGGGATGTACATAGACTTACTGATACAAAGCAACAGAGCACAATCTGTTCAAATGAAGTGTGATTTTAAAAAGAAACTTTGAACCTTCTCTAATCATAAAGTCACATTTCATTGATTCACTGTTAAAAACAACAACAATAAAAATAATAATAATAATAATAATAAACAAAACAGTCTGGTTCAAGACCGTTCAGTTTATTTTAGGAAAATATTTCCAAAATGTTTCTCACTTTAAGCCCAATTATAAACCCAAATATGTGGGTAAACATAAAAATTGGTGTTGATAGTTATTAATGCAAACTGAAAAATGAACAAAAAATGTAGACTTTCACACCAAATGGAACACTAATCACTATAACGATGACATCTACAATAAAAAATAAACAAAACCACTAAATAGAACTATAAAACATCCATTAATGCTAAATGACAATTATTTACATTCCCTCATAAGTCTATTCCCAAGCAAAGGTTTGTGGGTATTCCTTGTAAAAAAAGGAGTACAATATAGCATACTTTACAAAAATAATTTACTTTAAAATAATATATTTAAGTGAGAAATTTAATGTTTTGGACATATAATTAGCATGTTAATTGCAATGAAATGAAATTATAGTTTAAATATATTATAGTTTAAATGTATATTAAACAAAATTCACTGACCTTTGAAGTGCTTTTTGACCGACATAAGTAGGACTTATGTCATATCTATTAAAACCTGTATGTCATGGCATTTAAATATAATTGTAATCAGACGTTTGTAATGATGACGTTGCAATTTAGTAAAATGTCTTAACTTTTAATGTAATATCAAATAACTGATCTATTAAAATTATAATCCAGTACGTTTCAGTTTGCTTTAGTACAGAATGCTAGTCAACATATCAAAATAAGGGTACTTCTTGGAAAAAGATTATTAAAAGAGGATTTGAAACTTTAGTCTTTGCAACTTTACAGATCTTCTTTATGCACCAAGAGCTTGTAACACTCTAAAGAGAAAGGAAAAAATGAAATCGCATCATATGACCCCTTTAAAGTAAAACTTTTAATTTAACAATATTAAAAAGTGCACTTATATATACACTTAAGTATACAGTATATATATATATATATATATATATATACACACATACACATGCCAGAATACACAGTTACTTTTGAAAGGCCATCTATAAAGAAATACTTTTTGCCCCCTAATGATGTACGGCAGCAGAGGTTAAATAGGCCATCCAAACTCTGACCTCAACAACAACCATTTCACTTACATAGCCACAAGGGGGCACTCTTATCATATTCTATTCATTTGTGTGCGGATCATGCAGATTGATATTTGCAGCCTCTGGATGCACCTCAGATGCTCACACACTGGTAATTGCTTCCATTCCCTCTCTGTCTCTCTCTGCCTCCTTCCCTCTGTCGTTCTCTCTTGCGTTAGCATGCACAAGTAGCTCTCTTCGTGTTGCCTGCTGTCAACAGGACATTGAACTAGGCCCACTGGAAACACACTAATGTGGGTCATACCCAGCAGAATGCGGTTTGTAAGTGATTCATTCTGAACCAAAAAATTTTTTTTGTCCATATGCGACATAACTCTCGGGTTTTGGAACAAGAGCCAGTGAAGCACTCTGCTTGATTTAAAGATGACAAGTTTACAACCTGGCCTTCCTGGCCTCTCTTTCTTCATGTTGTCCCTATTAAACTTGCACACTCACATATACACACAAGACTTTTGCAAGTGGTGAGTTTGTGCAATAATTATTTTAAGTCTTTGGTTACAGTTTATTTTGATAGTCCACTTTAGACATTCTACTAGCTGTAAGTAACTTTGCAACTACATGTCAACTAACTCTAATTAGAGCATGTGTAGACTGTTAGGTTAGGGTTAGTAGAATAAATGAATAATGTGTCCCCCTCGGTCGGACCGTAAGGGCACTTTAGCTCGAGCACCCCATCTTGCCCTTTTAATAGCGTAAATAAATACAGAAGGGCTAATGTCTTACATTGGATATGAGCCATAATGATTTTAGCAAATGGCTGCAATATAACAAAGAGTGAAAAATTTAAGGGGGTCTGAATACTTTCCGTACCCACTGTATATGAAAAAACATGCGGAAAAAACAAGTCAAGTCACCTTTATTTATACAGTGCTTTATACAATACTGATTGTGTCAAAGCAGCTTTACAGTTTAACAAATAAAGCAGTAAAACAAATAGGTCATGTCTCAGACTGTGGAAATACAGATTCCTCTCAATGTTTTGCATGCAGGAAAACAGTGAAAGCTGATTAGAGCTTTCCATTTAACAGACTCTTTCATCCATGCAATTCACATACATCGAAGGAACAGTCCCTTTGGAGAAACCTGGGGTTAAGTGGCATTGTGATCGCTCATAGATTGCCCCTTGTTGGATTTGAACCTGCAACCTTTTGGTTGTTAGCCCAGAACGTTAGAAACTAGGTTACACCACACCATGGCAGCCATCCAAATAGATATCCTCATCACTGACTGCCATACATATCACTGTTTGTAAAATCTCATCCAGGTATTGCGAAGTGGCTAAAAATGGTGTTCTATCTGGGTCAGAACGTTACAGTTACGAGCATTGATGATGGCTGTAATTTGTCCACCAGTGGGGACAGCGTCGCATGGCTTCTGTGCTCTAGTTAGCCCTCTGATCACTCGCTGCACGACTCCACTGGCAGTGGCAGTGCCTTTTCTTCCTCAGGCCAGGAGGAGAGAGTTTTGGGAGGGCGGGCAGAACTCTGCAAGATTGAAGGCCATTAGTACAGACACCCACAGCTATCTGAAACGGGCCGAAAAAGAAGGCTCAGTTCCTTGGGTGAATGACTTCCATGGCACCCCAGAGCCTCCAAAGATGTGCAAATGAGCCCTTTGAGTGCAGGAGGATGGGAACCATGAGAGCTGGTGAAGCGGATTTAAAGAACAGAGTAATAGCAAAGGAAATGCTATTCCCTCACTTTGAAGGTTGTCACTGTGTTTGTCATTTGATAATCAGGTAGCTCACATAAAGGTTAGCTCTTATAAAGTTAGGAGTTATAAAATTAAATGTACAGCACATTCATGTCTTTGACATTGAAGACCCCATGAAATTGCTTAACGAGTTCAGTTTTCTTTCCTGTGTTGATGTATTTCCTCTTGCAAAAGGAAGTTTGGGTGGAGCAAAGGGTGTTTTAACTTAACAGTGTTTATTGTGCTGTTTTAGTGTTTTTGTTTTCAACCTAATTGCTTTTGTGTTGTTTTACAGCCCTAGTATACTTAGTTTTTACACATAGCTTTTCAAAGTATAGTCCATTTTGCTTGTCAATGCAGCCGTCTGCTGTTGTTTCAGTCTCGCTATTTTGTTTTTCTGTCTCTTTAATTTTTGTGTCTACTGTGAAACAATATCCCGGGCCAGTGCTTCCACATTGTACAACTGATTAGTGCAAAACCAAGTCAATGCGCATGTGCACATATAAAATACGTGCGAAACGGAAGTATTACTCTGACCTTTAGTGATTTGGCTCCAACCTGAGTATTTTTTGTTTTAGTTTAGTGTTTTGGTTCTAGCCTTGCAGTGTTTTAGTATTTTTAATCATGCTTAACTGTTTTGGCTCCAACCTGAATGTTTTTTTTTTTTTGCCTTGGTGATTTGGTTCCAACCTAAGATTGTTTTTAGTAATGATTTAGTGTTTTGGCTCCAACCTAACAGTTTTTTCTTTTCCTTTTTAAGTGTTTTAATGATTTTGCTCCAACCTAAAAACATTTGCAGTAGCATTTTAGTGATTTGGCTCCAACCTAGAAGTGTTTTAAGTGTCCTTTATTTGACTTGAATACATAAATTAGTACAGATTAACACTTGGTTTTAACTGATAACCTGAAATATTAATTGAATATATCAAATGCAAAAATTATTTGCTTTGCACACATTACCAGGGAATATCACTCATCTCATTCCAGAGATTTTACACTGATAACCTTCAGGCATTAGCCACTTAGATAATGAACCATTTTAATTATCACAGGTTATCTTATCTGATTCCTCTCACTTGTATAATTTATATGCACATCTATTGTCTCTGCTAGTAATTAACGTTACATTTAAGATATTAGTTTAAGAATAATGTGGAGTGATTAAACAGGTTGATTTGATAAATGCACTTGTTACACTTAGCCATTTTGCTCAGTTTTCAATGTCCTCTGCATGAATAGTCTACAGTACATCTATTTGTGCTTGGCATATATGCCTCATGCACTGGTATAGCTTTGAATGAATGTCAGTAATTAACGTGCTTTAACGTCTGACTATCACTTTGTATTCCGAACACACAAACTGGCAGCACTCAAGAATTCTTTTTAAAAATGTTCCACTTAATTCATGATTTCATTGGACATTTAGCAGCATAATTTCTAAAATGGCATTCCTGACAGAAGGATATAAATATTTTGGTGAGGTCCCTCAACCTACAACTGCCCAGTGATGTTCACTCAGTTCCTTAGCTGTTCAATGTTGCAGCATGCTGTAAAATGATGCTGATTTATGCACATATCACCTGCCAGATTTACACACAAGCTTCCAATTATAGCTGACCATACTGCAGGATACGATGTTTATCTGTCTGAATGTGCACCTCTGTGCAATGAATCTAAATGTTCTGTGTAAATGACTTAAACTGCCATTCTGGTGAGCGTTCCTCACATATCAGAATCAGAATCAGAATCAGAAAGAGCTTTATTGCCAAGTATGTTTGCACACACAAGGAATTTGTTATAGTGTCACAAGCTTCCAGTACACGGAGACAACAACAACACACAGATAATAAAAATGAGATGTGAATAAAATACACATGCATAAATATAAACGTCCGAATAAACGAAATCCGGTAGAAGATTGTGTGGTGTGTTCTGCCGAAGTTCAGCAGCTCATCCCTGGTAAAACTGATCGTGTTTGAGAAACAAAAAACAGGAAAAACTAACAAAAACAGTACAAACACTGGAGAGCCAAACACTGAGGCTGCCGTCTGCGGCGCCATCGCATGACTTAATATTTGTTACACATCGTGTAATAGGGTACAAAGGGCCTAAAAGACCACTTTTAGAAATTATTATGATACAATATTGATGGTGAAACATAATTTGTGCAAAAGAACATGGTAAAATAAATTTGTTTTGATTAAAAGCTAGAGGGACATTTTACCCCAATTGTGAACAGATCCATTGTTTTGCTTTCAACCTAATCATGATTTTGGTGGTGTTTTAGTGTTTTGGCTTCAACCTTGCAGTCTGGTGGTGGTGTTTTGGCACCAAACTAATAGTGTTTTAGATCTAGCTGTGTTTTAGCTTCAATCTAACAATCTTGGAGGTGTTTTATTGTTTGGGATAGAATACTTTTCTCAAACCTACCAGTGTTTTTTTTTTTTTTTTTTTTTTCCAGAATTTCAACCTAACAGTCTTGTTGGTGGTGCTTTAGAGTTTTGGCTCCAAAACTAACAGTGTTTTTAGTGGTGATTTAGTGTTTTAGTGGCGGTTTAGTGTTTTGGCTCAAACCTACCAGTGTTTTTTGTAGTGTTTTAGTGTTTTGGCTACAGCTTAACAGTATTGTTGGTAGCGTTTTAATGTTTTGGCTCCAAAATAAAAGGTGTTTTGGTGGTGTTTTAGTGGCGGTTTAATGTTTTGGCTCAAACTTATCAGTGTTTTTTTGTAGTGTTTTAGTGTTTTGGCTTCAGCTTAACAGTATTGTTGGTAAGGTTTTAATGTTTTGGCTCCAAAATAAAAGTGTTTTTGGTGGTGTTTTAGTGGCGGTTTAATGTTTTGGCTCAAACTTATCAGTGTTTTTTTGTAGTGTTTTAGTGTTTTGGCTTCAGCTTAACAGTATTGTTGGTAGCGTTTTAATGTTTTGGCTCCAAAATAAAAGTGTTTGTTGTAGTGTTTTGAAAATTAGAAAATAATGAGCATCCATCAATCCAATGCAGTGTTGCTTCAGGGCAGTTGGGTCAGCAGTAACACTATACTACCAGTCTACAAATCACACACACTGATGCTACAGTGTTCCCCACACTGTAGCATCAGTGTGTGTGATTTGTAGACTGTACACACAAAAAATTATCTGTATTTTTT